CAGGACCCCAGCTTCCGTCCGATCCACCTGCTCTCGTACCTGCAACAACACTGCACTCAGACGATGTGCGCTAAAACAAGGAGACCCCCGTCTCCGACACCCATTCCGATCAGCTGACTGGCTCTCGCGCAATCACAACCCTGGTAGTGCTCAGCCTGGAACGTGCTTCCACAGGAAGAATTCCACTCCCACCCAGCTAAGGGTATAACCCAGGTCTGAATGATCAAACCCAGGGCAGTGTTGGGACCACAGTGCTTAATCAGCATTCCAGGAGAGCATTTAATGATTGAGCTACTCAGAAGCACCAAAGATCGTTATCTTTATTTGCTGACAATTGTTTTGGTACTAATGTATATTATTTTGAGCTGCTGTTGTTATTATGACTTCAGAACACACCAACTCACACTAAGCAGTGAAGGTTAGAATATGGAAGATGTTAGGGTTTTGTACTTTCACGGTAAAAACATCAATTTAGATTAAGAAGTTCAACAAGTTTAAGGAAAACTCCAGCTTTATAAAGCCAGATTAAGCGTCACAAGATACTAAGCAGGAAAAATCATGAGAAACACGTATGTACAAGAAGACTTTCCTACCATCAGGCCATATAGTTTCACAATTGATAAATCGTTTATTTTAAGTGTCACAATATTAAGCAGAATTTGAAAGAACGTGTTGTAACTTCCACAGCACTGCTCCACATCAATCATGTTCTTTGAAGGATATCAATACTTTTTCTCATGCCGAGAAGAGAAAGCCTACCTGCTGCTCCCTGTCCTCCAGCAGTCTCTGCAGCAGCTCGATCTCTGCCTCTGCCCTGGCCAGATCTCTGCCAGCCCTGTCAGCCTGAGCCCTGCTCCCTTCCAGCTCATCCACCTCCTGGGGATTCACACACAATCGGATGGTCACACGCCGACTCCCCACGAACCATGGAATTATCACATCAGATGGCAGGGAATAAAACGGGCAACACACGGCAAAGCTGTTTGGACCGTCTTGTCTCCAGGCTTTCCTGCTGTCTTTGTTGAAAGATTTCAGGCAATACAATGTGTATTTGAAAGAACCAATAGCAATTGAATTATACAGAGTGTAACTCATCAAAATTCTCATGCTCAAGCTAAACAAAACGTTCGTAAAGGAGCCCAAGTGTCGAATTTCTACGAAGAGTTGTTCCGATGAGAGCCTCCCTGTTTGTTATTTCTGCTTCGGTGCATATTGTGTCTTAATAGACAACACAGCTGCACCTTATCA